ATAGAGTAATTTAGTAAGTTTATCAATTAATTTCTCAATTCATCAATTTATTGTTAGTATTTGAAAATAAAATAACTGGTAAAAGAATCAAGTATCTCTTGCATGATATGCGATCATTCTTGTATATAAGATGTCAAACGGCTCAAAACGTCGTCAAGGCAAGGTTTTAGTCGAAAGACTTAGAATCTTTAGAATAAAAGTATTAAAAAAGTATCTGGTATGCAAATTACATATCTCTTACAAGATATGCAATCAATTTTTCTTCACTAGGTACCAAATGACTCGAAACGTTGTTGCGAGGATTGGTTTGAAAAATTCAGAATCTTGAAGATAAAAGTATTTCAAGATAAAATAACTCGTTAATAAACTGCATATCTCTTACAAGATATGCAATCAATTTTCTCTATTAGATATCAAACGACTCGAAACATTGGGGCAAGGTTTTGGTCGAACGATCTAGAATCCTTATAATGAAAGTATTTCAAAGTTAATTAGTTTTAAGAATTAAATTTTATGTTAATATTTTTTTTTGTTAATACTATGTGAATAAAATCAAACTCATAATAGTTTTATTTTAAAATTCATACTTCACACAACTATAATTGAAACTTTAAACGTTTTGTTACGTACGATATGCAAAACATATCATACTGACTTTCCCTGGTAACAGCGAGGCTACCTTAGCAATACGGCACTAACGGAAGCGGAACAAGATAATATAAGGCTCAGCGAGCCCCAAATCGTGGCAGTCAAGCGTTATAAAGAGAGTCAGACGTTATTGAGGCATTCGAGTATTATCAAATCCAAACACCAGGTGAAATCATGAGGACACGACGAGTCTTAGATGAAAACACACGTTATTATTTTGTTTGCTTCCCCTTTTTAGTGTTTTGTTTTCTCTTAAAATCCGAAACGAAAATCACGCGAGATAACTGACTGAAATCACGTGAGCTAGGAAAATTTTTGCATACCAAACATAAAACAGAAGGATTTTATTAGTAGGATTTTTAAAGATACAAGAAACATCCAGGAATAACAATTCACAGCCATATCGGTTGAAAAATTTATCACTATTTTTATTATTCTCTTTTTTTTTTAACTAAACAGACAACAAATATTCCTCAAAGAATATTTTTCTACATTGACCACCAAACGAGAATACAGTGCATAATTTAAAGAAACCAAGTAAAAGACATAACAGTGGTCTTTTACTTTCTTGCCTCGCTTCCTGGTATTCTTTTTGTCCGATTACTCTTAAGTTGCGACATAGGTAATTAAACTGCCCCACAAGTAGGAAAATACATAAGATATATCACAATCAAAAGGGAAGTTACGACTCATGACATATATATTCCCTGTATTATATAGTTGTATTGACGAAAGTGAGTCTCAGCCCCCCTCTCCCCCTGCTACGCCTCAGCTCCCCCTCGATTTACGTAGTTATTTGCTTGTTTTAACGTCATTTTTAATTAAATAGTATTTGAGTAAGCTCCTCCCTGCTCCCCCTCCACCTCCCCCGCAACAAAATACTTATTTATCTAATGTTTTACCATCATAAATGTTAAAAAATATACGCAATTTAGTACCTAAGTCATACCTCGTTTTTAGGGTTTTTTAAGTCACTGTTCATAGGTCTTCCTCTGTCTATTCGCTTTCCCTTACTCACTATGTGTCTCTGAAGTACCATTATTTGTTTAACCTGATTGAACTTTTACATTCCAAATCTCTTTCTGGTCCATATCTACTTTACCCAAATATAAAATTCTTGATTACTTGAGGACTTTATTAAGTAAAAGACAGAGTTCAGGAAGAGGTATAATTAAATAGACTAACACAATTAAGCTTTTAAATCAACAATTCATTCTGTTAGCTTAATGTTGTAACATTTTATGTGTCATTTTAACCCATCTGTTCTTTTAAAACCCTTTCCACATTTTTTACATATTTGTTTTTCATTGTTTTTATGAATTAACAGACGTCTATTTTAATGTGACGATCTTCAAAGTTACATATTTTTGAATTACTGAAAAATTTCTAGCTAAACAATATTTTTAATTTCTGATTTATTCTCGGATGCNTATAATCGAAGAATAGCCTAATTAGTAACTAAATTTTCGAGATTAAAATCAGAAAAATTTAATTAATGTTCGAGCAACCCCTGAATAATAGTATACAGTATCTATGTACTATTATTCAGTATTTATTATATTACATAAATATAAAATATTCTACCGCCCTCCGGTGGTTTTGGGAGGCTGGTACTTCCTCGGGCAAAAAAGCAGTTTTCCCATACTCGTTCGAAAAGTCTCTTTTACGAACCTCGTTACGTCCCTCGCCTTAGGATCGAGCCGCAAACCTCTCGGTTCGCAAACAGAGACTTTTCGAACTCGTAGAAAAACTACTATTTCGCAATAGTGTGCGGAAAATTGATGTTTTCAGCACTGGTATTAGTGTGGAAAATCGATTTTCACACATAGTGTGCGACAAAGGTGTGCGGCAAAGGTTTTTCCGCACAGTGTGTGGAAAAAGTGTGCGGCAAAGGTTTTGCCACACACCGGAAAAAATTTTGCTACACACTGGAAATCAAAATTTAAACCTATTTTGTACCTATTTTCCTCACACATTGCGAAAAAACTTGTACGCAACTCGTGCGGGACGATTTCCCGCACTCGTGTGATAGACTCGCACTCGTGGCCGGTGACAGTAACTCGTACCTTGCGATCACACTCGTGCTACTCACTCGTGTGCTCAACTGGTACTCGTTCCCGTCAACTCCGGCACTCGTGTGAGTCAATCACTTTTCGTGCGGGAAATCGTCTTTTCCGCACTTGTTACGTAAATAACTAATATCTTTTACTTATCAACCTAATTTCACAATTTTTTAGCATAGACAATCAAATCACAACCACACGTGTACATAATTGATTTATGTATGGGTTATTTTTTAAATCGTACAGTTATCGTATATAAATATTTTTCCTTATTTTTCTCTTTCCGGTTTCTCCAAATGAATGATAAGTAAATGATGCAGGTCAAGTACTTCCTCCTCCTCGTTTAATTCCTTATTTTTTTCACTTGCGAATGCGCGTGCCAGAACATTTCCGAATTCTTTTCCAACGTCCTCTGGCATTTTGCTGATGAACGGATTAACAGCCACAAAGTGTTCTAAAATATGCGAAAAATATTTTTTATAAGTAATGTTAATTATCTGGATGTTTACTTTTTCGCGTGATATATAACGTGATGACCAACTCTTTGCGATTTCTAAATTTCTGAAGATGTACGTCTTTTTGCGTAAGCTGCAGTGCAAGACCTTAAAACCGGTTTCCTCAAGTATTTTTTTCATCTGAACCGTTGGACTGTCACAATGTTGAAATTTTGGGATGAATTTAGTGACTTCCTGGAAAATACATTATTTTTGGATTGTTCTTGTTCTTCAAAACTATTGGTACTAGTATAAACATCATTATTAATTACCGTCATATACGGTTTGTATTGAGACATCTGAGCTATTCTTAGGTAGCAGTCAAATATTTTGTGGTAAGCTACATACAGCACCAGGGCTCTTCCACCTGGCCGCAGTATTTGGTAAATATTTTCAAATGCTCTTCTAAAACAGAAAAAAATCTTTTGATTAATGATTACTGTAAAATATATGTCTTTATTAATCAGAAGAGCTAATCATATTAAAAATTTTCTTAGTGTCTTGGCAAGATATCAGATTTAAAAAAATACTTTAAACAGCATTGAGTTGTCGGGTTTTTTGTCAACTGCTTGATCTACTTAAATGTATCGTTTGGCTTGGAAGAATTTAGCTTTGAAAGGGTGAAAATTAAAGTTCTAAGTAATATTAAAAACAAGATACACAAAAAAATAGATGCATGTACAAATAGTTTCTAATAAGAAAATCGAAAATTTGTAAACTCGTTAAAAAGCGAGCTTTTTAATAAATATTAGTAGTTCAAGTAATCCATATGAGTCGAAATAGCCAGTTGAAGGGATAATTTAGTGGATTTAAATTATAACTAGACATATTTTATGTTTCTACAGCTCACATACTCTGTCATTTATTTGTTTAATCAAAACGCATAACACGTGTTAAAAAGACTTCATAATTAATCCCAGAGTTGCTACACCCAACCCCATACAGATGAACAACCATAAGCAGGATATACGAAAAGAAATATTTACAATTGTATGCACATGAATCGGATTGAAGCTATAGAATTTTACAAGTGCATTTCTCCGTAAATTTAACATTTAAAAAAATTCATGATGTTTAAAGTAAATTTTATACAACATAATAATAAATTTTACTTCATACCTCGTATTTTGACACATGTTTAGACAGTAGAAAGAAACAGCGTTGTCGAAAGCGCAATTCAGCTCTTTTGGTATTTTTTCCGCCTCTACGTCTAATTCGATAAATGATAAACGTTTCTCGTCACTGTGAGTTTGCTTAGCAAATTCAATCATTTTCTTAGATATATCAGCACCTGAGATAACCAAAAACTAATTATTAAAACCATTGTGCTAGAAATTACGACTGTTTGCTTATACGCTACAATCTATCTAAATGCACACAAGACGGTTCCTGTCAATTAAAAGTAAAGAAAAATTGTTCAAAAATAACTTCCTGCAAGTGTATTTGTTTTATGGATGTATTAACACTTTGCATGAAAGGGTAATTTCTAACAGATGACTAGCTTCTGTTTTAATTTATAAGTGGAATAATATAGTTTGATTTTATCATGGCAGAAAATTTTGATATTTCAGCTTGTTGTNATATATATATATATATATATAACACCAAATGAGTTGTCGTATTATTTGAAAAAGAAAGAGAAAGAGAGATGTACGTAAGATAAAGATTTCCTAAAATGGAATACTAGGTTTAAAAAATTTGTTTCTGAGATTTTTCTACCAGAAATGAAAGTAGTATCTGAAAAAATAAAACTTGAAATATAAGTACTAGAGATTTTCATGAAAAATTAAAATACTTAAGATACTTAGCGTTTCGTTAAAAAATTTAATTAAGTAGTTGTCTTTTACGAGAAAAAGTTGAAAAACAGAGTACCAAGTACTTTTCTCCACTAAAGCAGTGCGATGAATTTGTCTTTAATACTAGTTTTCTATTTTTATAGATCTTTTTTAGTAGATTTTTGAAAACTTTGGTTGATCATCAGTAAACGTACTCCGTCATAATAACCAAGTACTCTAATAACTTACTTATTACACATATGCAAACATACTCAATCTTGATTCTTTACATGGTAAAAATATTCCTAACATGTTAAAAAAATTTAATTTTCGACCGATAGAAGGCGTTAAGAAAAAAGGAAAATGAAAACATAATGATAATGAAAGTTATTAAAAATTCGGTAACTATACAAAAATTTAAGGGAGGCATGTGAATTATTAGCAGTCGATTTCAATCGGCAAGCATACTCGTTAAAAAAATACTTGAGGTTGGCTCTTTAGTAGAATAAAAATCAGTTAAAAAAAAAAAAGAAAAACTAATACTCATCAAAAATAAACCTGTTCCCACAATTTGATAACCTCGTAACCACACGAATTTTTATAAACAAACTATATTATGTATTACTTGGGAGTATATTTTTTAACATATCTTCGGGCCTTCGCGTGAATCGTCAACTTTGTTTTCAAGTTTGTAATCCCGGGAATAGAATAAAAAAAATAATACGAAAAATATCTCTTAACACTGAATACATTGGTACATCGAAAAGTATAAGTAATAACTGGTTATCAAAAGATATTTTTCTATGTTGAAATGTAACACTTAATCATATTCATATGCTTATAGCCATACAATGTATGAATAAATATGTAAGAATGGTATTAAACCTTTCAGATATTGTTGGCTTTGCTTTGGACAACAAACGGACTATCTGACACTTTTTTACTTTCCAGATATGGGTTGTATCTGATTTTTCCTATCCCCACAGCTGTAAATAGAAAGTTTCCAACCACTAGGACAAAAAAAATTGTTTTTTTCACGACTTGTTGCGCACTAAACTTGCCACTTACCAACGATGTGAACATTAGGTGGCAGTCGGGGCATGAGGAGCTTGCGCGTAACTGAGGCAGGGCCGCAGCCGATGTCGATGCACTTTCCGGTCATTTTTGCAAGTTCGTCACTAAACTCTTCGATAAGATCGGCATTGTCGTGAGCCTGCAGTTCGTGGGCCTCCATGTATCCTTTGACGTCATTCATTGTTTGATTTTTATCAAACCGATCAAGATCCGAAGCTGTAGGGCAAAACGTAGTCGAACGTATACTGAGTCAAGCTTGCACTCAACAAGTTACTGTCAAAGCGAGGCTTACCTCTCGACTGTTCATATCTTATTTGCACGGGCTTCTTTTTATATGTGATTGAAGTAGCGGTGACTCAGGAGGAGTCGTTCTTTCACTTCGAATTTATTTATTCATTTATTTACCACATAATATACATAATAAATAATAGTATTATATGTTCACAATTTTACAGTTTCGCATTAGTTTTTCTATTAAATAAGAAGTACTGAACTAAATTCATTTTATTAATCTTATAAAAGATTTTTCTGTTTATTAAATCTTTAAATTGCTCTATCTTTCTTTTCCTCTTTTTTTTTAAGGGATTGATCGTGGTACCGTAAACTTTACAGTTAAGTTTCAAGTTCAATTTATTTTAATTTGATTATTTTTGCACAAAAGATGTAAAAGAGTATACAGTCT